GCCATTAGTTGAGTTTCCACCTGTGAGGCGGTGGCTTAGAAAGTTGCCGGCAGATAAATGGCAATTTGTTCGCATTAACCTGGAGTTACGCCCCCTTATTGCCTCCCATGCGGCGCATAGAACCGTGACCCATTAGTTACGGCACTTTCCAAACAAACTCCAATAATGCAGCCATTAAATGCCAACTATTCTGCCATCAAGTGCTTTAGTTTGACATAAATCTCGAGCGGATGGCGAAACTTTTCCCGCTGCCACAAATCTGCACTGGCTCTATAGCCGACCCATCCACCCACTCCCGAGTGGCCACCACCCGACCACCCACCACGCAATCCAGAAATCCGGCAATCCACTAGGATCAGTGGGCCGTGTCCTGCGAGAGCTTATGTTGCAGCTTTAATTAACGCCAGGTTTTTCGGACTGCCCCTTCCCCCACCCGTCCTTCGTGTGACTTCGGCCAACAGGTGCGGACCAGCGCCCTTGTTCTAGTCCTCCCCCTTTCAACACCCTTCGACACTGGGCAAAAAGTTATGTTCCCTGCAGGCAACCAGTTTTGTTCTAGAAAAATAATTATTGGTAGAGAATATTTCTTTTTTCCTACAATAGTCCTTATTATAATTACAAAATTAAATGCATTAATTTGACATAAAATTTCTTTCATAATATGGATTCTAAATTATGTTAATTTTTTGGAAGCAGTATATAGTAGTATAGTTACTTTTGTTAAGACTTTAAAATCTATTAACAGCTCAACTGTTTTCTGTTAGCAATCCTTTCTTTAACATTTCTTTTAAACTTCAGTTGATTCCTTCTTCTCTCTCCTTCTCTCAATTGGCCGCCATTTGCCATTTACTCACTGCGCTTTTTTCCCGTCGGACGCGTTTGTTTTCTATTTCCGTTCTATTTTGGCCAATTAGACATAAAAAAAATAAAACTTGTATTAAAAACAAATTACGATTAGTTTTAACGCCTGTGACTAAGTGATATGTGCATATCCAAGTAATTAAACCACCTGCGATTACCGGAAAACCTTAGGCGTCTTTATCATGTGTATGTGAGCCTAAAAAACTTAACTTTTTTCATTTTCACTCTAGAAATCAAATACAAAATGGAAACTTATATTAAAATCAAAGCGTAATCGGTAAATTATTGATTTATACAGTTTGTGCAACCTGTGAAATAAGTAAACAATTAAATTTAAGTGTTTTTAAGTTGATTAAACAACTTGCTCGCACCAATACATACATCAACATAGGTGTCGGGCTGTTGTGAATGTGTGTGTGTGCTGTCGGCCGCGAATTCGCCGTGTTTTCATTTCGTCGTAATTCAATATTAAAACTTTTAATGAAGTAGTTAGTGATTAAAAGGATTTGGGGCGAATTATCTTAGGCGCCAAATTTAAATAAAATACATTTATTAAATTGTTTTAATTTTTTTATGGTGAATTATCAGTGATTATATAAAATGTGTTGTGTTAAACACATACTGTCTTCAGAATGTGGAAAACTCATTACCCAAATAAACAACATCATCTACTATACAAAGTTATGGTAAGCTTAGAACAAAATTATTCTATTGATAATAACTATAACTAAATATATAATTATAAAAGAAATAAAACATTCTGGCTTTGGCTAGGATTATTTCCATTAATATCTTGTAAAAACAAAGTATTCCATGATTGAAATGATCCTATAATTTCCCGCGGTGCATCCATGTTGATACCCTTCCCACTGTATTTTTATTTAATTTAGAGTCGCGCATTGCCGGCCAGGACTTTCATGTTGTAATTTCCTCAAATTTACGAGTTTGCTTAGCCCGGATACTGGTTGGGATAGTGCAGGCAGGATTCAGGGGTGGGTGGGTTATATTTTTTGGGAAGGCAGGGCAGCAGAGCCAGGATTTACGACTCGGCTTGGTTGGGTTAGTTTCACCGCCTTTCGGGTTTTCCGGAGCTCTGGCCCCCGTGCCTCCGCTTTGGTCCTCTGTGGCTTGTTAGCGCCTCGACTCTCATTTTATTAGCAGCATCCTCTAGCCTGCCCCCTTGGTCACCCCTCGTTATCCTTCGCAACCAGATTGCTGTAAATGAGCAACTTTTTGCCCTTAAATCCAACAAACTGTGGGTGAGCGTGGAGCGTGTGTGCGAGTTTTTTGGTAATTTCGCATGCAGTTTATGGCTAGGCATAACAACCAAAGCAGCAACAACAAAAGTCGGGGCTTAGCTCTTGCAGCTGTTAGAAGGGCCCCTTGCATCCCATACATCCACCCCCCAATTCACACCCCTACACCCTTCGACGCCCCTTGTACACAGGTTGATGACGCCGCTTATAAAAGTTGATCAAAATTATTACTACGCCCGGACAAACATTTCGGGGATGCTGTAGAAGTGGGTTGATCCCTACTTGGGTGCTAATTTTTGGAGCAGGACTATGCAATACCCTTTCGAGATAGATAGACATAGTTTATAAAGATAAACCATCTGAATCTTATAATAGGAATATACAAATTTGTTTAAAAATAGAGTCATTTTCAATTAAAAGTATTTGTATAGGCCTTGGGTATTTCTAAATTATCAGTAAAGGCTTTCCCTTAAAAATTTAGATGTCCTAGCAAACCAAGAAGTATCTAGTAATACCCTACCAGGACATAAAAAGGTAAAGAGGTGAGAGTGGCAACAAGGAGCTCTTGAGTATCTTCTTTCTCGCAATCTCATGAAGGGACCCTGTTTCGGGACAATTAGAGTGGGCCATTGCCATAAAGTTATAGAATTCATGGCGCACGTTTTCCACAACGCATTTGGAGTTTACTTATTACTGCAATTTATCTGCCCGACGGACAAACTTTTGGGCCACGTTTCATTAGCCATATCCTGGTGGGGCAAGAACTCTACTCTTCTGGATTTTCATTCAGTTGCGTAAGTGTGCTTGGGCTTTTTTACGAGTGCACATTCTGTGCGCGATATTAAATCCATATAATGAGGAAAGGCATATGGATTGCATATGTACATTCACATATGTAGTTGTAGTTTCTGATGCAGAGCAATGAGCGAAATTCCAATTTATGGCCAAAAGTCGTAAAATGGTAATAATTTTACGGCCCTCGCTGGGCAGCTTGCCATCTCGCTGATTAAAAAGTATAATTTTAATTAATCTAATCTTGAAATTTATTATGAAAGCAAGGTTATTGAATGGAAAGTGCAACCATAAAATTAAACTGAAGTAATAAAATTAATAGCGGGGGAAATTTTTAATAACTCAGTAAATAACTTTAAGTATAAACCCAAAAACTCGAAATGTATTGACTTCCAAATATGTTATCTTATCCTTTAATACTTAAATATATATGGGAAAGAAAAGCTTCCATAACAAAACAGAAATAATAACCAAAGCGATCTGTTACGCATACGCCACGTAAACTAGGTGAGACATTGTCCAAGTTACGTATGTAAATGAAATCGATCGCTGGTAAATGGTAATGAAATGAATATTAATACGCAACGAATTAAGTACTGGCCCCTGGCCACCTCTCGCGTGCTTGTCGAGTAATTAAAGTAATAATGTTAAGTAGAAAACACGGCGAATCTATGTCTTTTCCGCATTTCGCGGTGTTGCATAAAATGTTGAACAAAGCGCGAAATGAGCGGCGGATTAGATGGTTTTGCGATTTGATAGGATTGGAAATTGAGTCGTGGCGTATGTGAGATTCCAGTGGCCATGGATGGCAATGGTAATTCCGTTTCGCCGGCTCCCAGAGCCAGTCACCAAAACGCCGCATCCGATTCAGCGATTCAGGAGCTGCAAGAGCAGAGAGGCTGTGGCGAAAATTGTTTTGTTGGCGTAAAATACCTGGAACGCTCCACTGAGCAGCGACCGCGCCCCAAGTCAGGGCCACACTGTGAGAAAAAACACCAAATGGATACTCAAGTTTTAAGTTATTTTAAGAAAAAAGTGATAAACATTGCTTTTAATTACGTAAATATTAATAACGAATGTAATTTATAATTAAATATTTTAACATTTTATAAAATACGTTTTGTCATTGTCCTTTTTTTTACAATTCAATTTTTTATTCATGGTAAATATTTAAAATTGTTCATATTTAAATCATTCATTATTGAATTTAAATGTATCAATTATTTTGTTCCTAGATTTTGTTACACAAGACATAAGCTTATGTTTATTGAAATATTTGTATATTTAAAAATTCAAAATGAAGGCATTTCTGTCAGTGTTGAAACCAGTAATAAGCTGTAAGCAATAATTAGGCACACGTAACTCTGGACGCGGCTGTGGTGGTGCACATGCAAATGTTGAGGCTCTGTGGAAGCTGCAATGCAATCGACACCGCCGCGGACGAAGATAATGATGGATAGGTGGATGAGAGGGAACTCCATAAGTACGCCACATGCGGCCATGGTGCACTGAACCTGATTACCGCATCCATATAAAAGCCCCATCGATATCAGCCGGCCCACACAGTATTGAAAGCGAACGCGCGCCATTCGGTGGTCGGAGTGGACAAACTAAAGGATTAATTAAAGGACCAGCTCAACCATCAACAGCAAAATTAACCACATCTTCGACAGCATATTAACTAAAGTGAGTCGAGTTAAAGCTGATCATTTTGATCAACTTAAAATAAGAACATTTAATTAAAACAAATTGAAAACGTGCTAAAAGCAGTTTTATGAAACTTAATAAAAACTAATTTGTGAACCTTGTACAATCTAATGCAGTTGATTGCAAATGGTTTTGTAAGATGTAAGCGAGAACAAAATTCAATAATAAAAGGTATTTAAGAAATTACATTTAAAGCTTCCGTTAAGTTAAAACCAAAATTAAAAACAATTTTGAAATAAAACAAAAGAAATAATAATTGTTAAGTTATCTTAAAACTTTAAATTTATTAATATCTTGCCTGAATTCAAATGCTGCCTTATGGTCTGTCCTGAAAATATCCCAAAAATTTAAATGTGTGTTTCCCTTTTGGTTTTCCCCGAAAAGATGTCGTTAAGAAGTCCCACTCTGGCGGGTAGAGTCCTGGCCATAATGCTCTTGCTGATACTGACGGGTATTCAGGCGCGGCGCCTTGGCCATCGGCGCCTCATAATCCACGTGCCGGTCAAGGTAAAGACGCACCATCACACCCACACTGTCTACAAGGTGCTCCACGGATCGCATGGCGGCGGTGGAGGAGGAGGTGTGAAGCAAACTGTATACAAAGTGCTTGGCTTTTCCACACACGGAGGCGGTATAGCCAAAGGAGGCGGAGGAGGAGGTGGTGGCCATGGCGGAGGTGGCGGCCACGGGAGCTACGACTTGGGAGGAATGGGCCACGGCGAAATCACGTACGAGGACATGCACGGATGCGAGAGCGGCAAGGTGATGCCGGCGGCCAGGGACATGATTTTCAATCACTACTCGCGGAACGGCGAGGGAACTGAAGCTGCCGAGGATTATGCCGAAGAGTTGGACGACTTTGTAGACCTAAGGGATGGCTGGTTGTGAATAAAGAGACGTGTGCGAAATCACCACCGATTAATTATAAAATTCCAGGCACCAGTGATCCCCACTCCACATTTGCACTACGGAATTGTTGACGAAGCCCAAGTCTCGACACCGCCGAAATTCCAATCACCCGGAATTTGTGTCTTTGTCTTTGGCTGCCAATTCGCATTTGTATTGTTTAATTAGAAAGCAGCGGGTTGGGGCAGAATGGGTGGGATTTGCTGGGGTACAGAGACTTCAACTTCTTGGCTGCAGTCGCACACTTGAGAAAGACTTGAAGTATTTGCATTGCTATTGACTCGGCCATGCGGCATATTTTAGTGGACAATTAAAATAAACGAGAAACGGTTGAATGAAGTAAGTGAAAAGATTCATGGATCCGAATACGATGGCCAGACAAGTTCGGCTACTTTAATAAATTGCCAATGCAAATGCCCCTTGATGTCAATTATCGACAGAAATGTAATTAAATTTATTGGAAGTAAAATATTTCATAATCTTGCGCCGCTTTTTTTTTTGAGAAAAAGTTTATAATTCAATTGTCGTTTCAATGGACATTTGATAGTGTTCAGATTCTCTAAAAATCTATGAAAAATTCTTGCTGTGTATTTTTGGACCGATTTTCCGTAATCTTTGCAATGAAAATTGCAAATTCCAAATTTTCGAAAAACGGCTTTGCAGAAATCTGGCCTAAAACCTGCACTTCTAAGCCCATTATCTTCTTACAGACATCAGATTTACAATTGGCATACTTCTAAATGATTGTGGTTTAATCCTCTAAAAAACTGTGTTTTCAACTTGGTTTATATTTTGGAGTCAATTGTTCGTCATTTTTTATTTTTCAAATTTACGAAAAATGGCTTTGCTGAAAAGTCACCTAAAACCTGCACTTCGAAGCCCATAACTTTTCTTACAGACATCCGATTTCAAAGTGGCATACTTCTAAATGATTGTGGTTTAACTCTCTAAAAAACTGTGTTTTCGGTTTCTTTTGTATTTTGAGGACGATTTTCCGTCACTTTAATGATTTTACCCCTTTCCAAATTTGCGAAAAATGGCTTTGCTGAAAAGTCACCTAAAACCTGCACTTCGAAGCCCATAACTTTTCTTACAAACATCCGATTTCAAAGTGGCATACTTCTAAATGATTGTGGTTTAACTCTCTAAAAAACTGTGTTTTCAGTTTCTTTTGTATTTTGAGGACGATTTTCCGTCATTTTAATGATGTTACCCCTTTCCAAATTTGCGAAAAATGGCTTTGCTGAAAAGTCACCTAAAACCTGCACTTCCAATCCCATAACTTTTCTTACAGACATCCGTTTTACAAATGGCATACTTCTAAATGATCGTGGTTTAATTCTCTAAAAAACTGTGTTTTCAAATTGGTTTCGGTTTTGGGGACGATTTTTCATTATATTTATGATGTTACCTCTTTCCACATTTACGAAATATGGCTTTGCGGAAAAGTGTCCAAAAACTGCACTTCTAAGCCTGTGATATTACTAAGCAAACTTAAATAGGTCTTTCAAATCGAGTCCAATAAGTCAAGATATTAGTCTTAATTACGGATAAAGATGAGTTTTTTTATTTGCAATTACCTCTCGAATATGAATATACATAAATATGAGTTCTAATCCGCATTTTCCAAACAGCCATTGATCAATCAATTAGACGCTGCCAAAGAAACTGCTCCGAACTGGAGCATCAGATTGGCATCAGTTCGCCAGCGCTTGACATAAGGCAGATTGATCACTGGCCGCCCGGCCTGCTTCCCGGCAGATGGCTCCGATAGAGATAAACCGAGTGCAGATTCCCCATTCAGATGCGAAACCAGGTAAACACAGGTGCCGCCGTTCGCTGAGCGCAGAATAATTTGCGTGTAATTGAAGGCGACAGCGCGTCACGGGTCGGGATGATAAATGCGTCTGCTCGCTCCAGGAGTAAAACCCGATCCGGTCGGATCCCAGCCTATAAAGACACTCGACGGGTGGCCACCGGTCGGTGGTCACTGGTCACTGGTCGCACTTTCGGCTGGCGCCAACTGGTCAGTCCAAATGGATGGGGGCTATTTAAAGGCATTTAGCTGGTAATGACATTTAAGGCCAGCGATATAAATCGCACCACCGCCGCAACGGCAACATTGTTGCACAAAAACGATTTAAAGCCCCTCACGCACCACCGTCAGATGAAGTTGTTGGCCCTGAGCCACATCTAATCCACCGGACACGTGGTAAAGGCTCGGAATCAACTGAGCGGATTAAACATTGAGCCGCTGCACGCAGGAAAAAATCGGGTGCGAATAATACTTATCAATCAATATTAGTTAAAGCCCTTCTAAATTAATTTTAAGCTCTGTTAATTTATTGACACTCTAAGCATTTAATAACTTAAATTAGAAACATCAGAGGTTATACAAAATTTAAAGAAAAATATATTTGTAAAATTAGTGATCACATTTAATTGCCAAGATTTACTTGCCTACTTAATCTAGGAAATTAAAAAGTCTTAGTTTCAAAGAACAGTTTTTCAATTTGGAAACTTTCCGATCAGTTAAGAGAACTGTCGTTAACCGAAAGGCAATTTTATCTAGAGCTATTTAATGCCAAAATCCTTTTTGCTCTGCATGAGCCACTGAGCTGCTTATGTCCACTGATGACGAGCTGAGTCCGCAGAGCTTTGTCCATCAGTGGCTCGGCTTTCGCCTGTGTGCCCCTCTATGTCTGTCTTTTCCTGGCTTTATTGGATACGTTAAGCCTCTGCACATATTTGCATCCTGGCTGGGCGAATGGCTGGCGGCAACAAAGCGTAAAGCGATTTGTCCAAAACCAAATAGGCAGTCGGTCCAAAACAAGTCCGATATTTGGAATGGGCGTAGATTGGGGTATTTGAGTTACCTTTACAATATTTGGCCGCTTCTGCAAATGCCTTCAAATGCTAAATACATTTTGTGTCGTTTGCCGGCATTTGATTTGCTTTTCACTCTCCAGCCTGCGGTCTAAATAAATGTATTGATTTTGGCAAATGGCTTTTGCACGGTCAGGAGAACCCTCAATCTCTATTTGCACCAGAGTGGAACATTTCCATGTACCACCCAAAAAACAGCTAATGGCACTGTTTTCGATTTACTTTAATTAAAAAAAAGTTCTATGTTAATTGTTTTTAAATTTCTAGAATATTTATATTATAAGATGGCTAACAAATCAATATTAATTAATTAATATATGGTACTCAAAACCAATTTATCAATGCAATTTATCTAGTATTTCCCTGTTTAAATTTACCTCCCGTTTAATATAAACTTTTAAACTGATTCAAGCTCATTTCAATCAACCACAGGACATTTAAATTTGTAAAGTCCGTCAATCGACAAACTTTTCCCCTGTGTGTTCATTTCGTAATTGAGGCAATCCTTTCACCGTCCTTATCCCACTTTCACCCTTTCTCTGTCATGTTTACCCTTCGTCTAGCCTTTGATTTTTCATTTTTCCAGCCACAATTTTTGGCCATTTTGCTGTTTGCTTAATTGGTTTCATTAGGGAAATATTCGGTTTTCGAAGCTTCATTTTTGCAACACCCTGCCACTTACCGTCCTTCCTTTTCGCCGAGCGGAGGATGCCAAAAAAACGACGCTCCTGAATCGCACCTGAAAAGACAGAGTGAAGGGGAAAAGTTAAAAAAAGTTGGTCTAAAGTATAAACTTAAAGGAGGAAAAGTTTCGGCCAGGTGGTTGAGGAAGGGGATCCGAAAGGACCAAGATCCAGTTACACGTGTCGCAGGAGCAAAAACAGCCAGGCGGCATAATTTCCACAGAGTGACAACTAAATAAATAGAAGAGGGTGCCACCGGAGGAGGCGGAGGCAGATGGAAAAGTTTGAGCTTAGTGGCAAGGATGCGGGCAGCCACTCCGTCTGAGGCACTAATTTTAACACCATTAATTTGCGAGGCTGGACTAGAAGCAGTCGGGTTGGCAGCGTAGAGATACAACAGAGAATTTTAAATGAAATGGACACAAGTTTTATTGAATTGACTGGCACCATGGCCAAGAAGGGAAAGGGGAGCAGGCGGAAAGCAAGGAGCTGCTGCCATGAATTTCGGACCGGAAACGGAAACGCATTACTCTGCTCCTTTGAGCGACTTCTCCTGCTCCAGCTACTCCTCCTCTTGTTGTTCGTGTGGCCCGCACTTTGCCCCACAAGTTTACACGCAAGCTTAGGGTGGCAAGTGGGTGGTGCACAGAGCAAAAATTTAAAAAAAGTTTATTAAAATAGATTTAAACCTGATTTTATAAATATTACAGAAAGAAAGTAACTTCAAAATCACAAGCATTTTAGATACTTTTGTCTTTTCTTTAATTGTTTCGACAACGTAACATGTTTGTGAAATGTTTATCTTCAGTATATTTTTATAAGACATTAAATAAGCTAAGTTATAGTCATAATTAATAAGACAGAAACTATGTAAACAAATGATTTGAAGGATAATAAGAATACACTTTAATCCTGCTAAAATATAAATGTGTACAAATAGTAAAAGTCTCTAAACTCGATTAATCATTTTTGTTACTTTGTTTAAAATATTTAAGAGCTTACATTTTCTCTTTCTTTCTGCCAGTGTATATATTGGGTGCGGGGGTTTTGCCACCAATCAAAAAGAAGCGGCAGCCAACCAGAAATAGAAGTTGTGGCAAAGTTTTTGATTTCATGATATATTTATGGGCATCCGCTGCTACTTTGGGCCCCATCCAATTCCTTTGAGTAATAAACTCGAGCCCAAAAAGGCCGCAGCAAAGGATGCGGCTTACAACTTTAACTAGAAGTTATTAATTTATTTTATTTTCAATCCCCCTATATATTCGGTTTAAGGTGGACTCCGCACCGACATTGCATAATAGAGGTTAAAAAGTAGGATGATTCAGTGGTTCCTGTGGTCTCCGGCACGTACAAAACCCGCTAACACAGATAGCAATCGCTGGGAATTTATTCGAATACCATGTTGTGGTTGAGTTGGGTTTAGTGCAGGTATTTTCGAAAATTTCATCTGCAATTTGCGCACCCAAATGAACCGATAAGCCGGGACTAATGTCCCGCAAAGGACTCGCAGGACAATGGCCACTATCGAGCTGAGTCCGGTAAGTGGTCATGGGGTTTGTTAATGGAAAAAATCGACTCGGCATGGATTCAATTAAATATTAAATAAACGACATCAGCAAACAGCAATTTCCTCTTCTCCCCCCTCTCAAACATTTGTGGATCCCCGATATTGGAGAGAAATGCAAACACAATTGCAAATGCTCGGGAAAACTTTATGAGCCAGCGTAATCCTGGCAATTATATGCTGCCATCTCTGTCCTCCATATATTCTCTTTCTCGCTCTCATTGTGCGACGGACCTGGACAGGAGTAAACATTATCTCCATATTGCATAAAAGTATGAAATGAACCAATAAGAGAACTACACTTGCAGGATGCACTGCAAGATGTTCCAGTTAAAAGATATTCTAAAACGGAACTATACTGGATTTTATAACAAACCAAGTATATTTATTAAAAAATTAATGCTTTTTAAATTAATAACTTTTTGACAAATGTAAAAAAGATATTTCTAATTGGTTTGCCAATTGATTAAGTTAGAATTTAAATATGTATATATAAATAATAATAATTTTGTTTTGAAGGCTTAGGGCCTTAAATTAAGGTTATGATTATTTTAATTTCTGGGATATATATTTGTTTCAAGTGTATATGGACCGCTACGATGGGCGGAAAAGAACGTGTTGCTGCATGGGCATTAAATTCAGATGAGAAATGATTTGAACAGGTGCTGCAGTGGCATCACGAGAAGGAGCTATGAAGAGAAGGTGAAGGTGGGGGAGTGGGAGTGGGTGGATTGAGAGAGCTTGGCAAAAAGACTAATTATGTATTCATTAAAATGGCAAACGGCAGAAGGATGCACGTGCACGTGTACGAATGTCTGTGAGCAGAGCATCTGCATCCTGGGCCATCTCGACTTTGGCAACCAAATGAAAATACTGCAGCCGAAGGGTTGCAAAAAGGTGAGCAGTCATGAATGCATCTGGTTGGAATATATTCTGCATAATGGCCCCAGTTTTTGTGTCTGCTTGCGGGTCTGTTCTCGCATTTTGATTATATCTATCTGGGCTTGATAACCTAATATGAAATGACGAATGTGTGAGCGCTTCCTCTCTCTCTATCTCCGCAAATGAAATGCCCGGGTAATGATTCCTAAATACACACATTTATCATATTTGCACGAGTTTCCTTTGAATTCAGTTGGGAAAGTCTGTTAATGTGTGGAGAGCAGGTTAAATTTGTTTGTTGCTTAGTCGTTTAATGGGAGGAAAACCAGTTAGGAAATTATTAAATTGAAACTTTCTGGTAATGGGATAAGGTTTTTTTAAAGGTGCTTTAATTTTGTTTTAATTTACCAACTTTATTTATTTTACTGTTTACTAGGGATGGATAAATATTATTGTTATATATCATTGAATTTTAAATAAAATAATCTTTTTTAAATTTGGTATGCAATTTACTTTATTTGAATTAATAATTTATAATTAGCTTAAATTTAAATGTATGCGATGTTTTTCTTAGTATGTCATTCTTGTTTAGTTCTTGGTTGTTCTTTCGGTCAGGATCTTCTACTGGCTTCTCAGTTGGAGAAACCACCAAAGATGCCTTTGAAGAAGCGGTAGATGGACTTCGGGATCTCCACGGCAAAAAGTACGGAGCTCTCCTCTTCCTCCTGGACTGCAACTGACGGAGCAGGTTGGGAGCGCTTTCCATTTCCAAGAGATTGCTTCTGGAAAAGATTCGTCTGCTCGCTAAGATGATTGAGGATCAGCTGATGGATAGCGGCCTGCTCCTTTTGAATTTGGCTGAGACCATTGTTGGCCGGCAGCTTGAGGGGCTGGCTCACATGGACATTGCCTGCCTTAATCAGATCTTGAAAACTGATGCTTCCCGAAGAAGCCTTTCCTTGGGAGATCTCAGGTGCAGGAACCAGAAGAGGTAGTGAAGCCAGATTCACAGACAGTAGGACATTGCCATCTTCCTTTTGACTTTCATTGGAAAGATTGGCGAAAGGATTAGGGATCAGGTAGAAATTTGGCTTTTGGGACTGCTGCTGCTTCTGGGGTTCTTCTTCGGAAAAGGCACGGAACTTTCCCAAGTACTGATATTCACCAGCCTGGTGAGTCTGACTATTGCTTTTGTTGACATAAAATGGATTCGGGAGAAGCACCAAACTGAGACCCACAACCTTGGGGAAGTCGGTGAAGGGATTGGGCAGGAAGGGGAAGGGCTTGGTCTCCTCGTGGATGTGGATGTGGTTGTGGGTGTGCTGCGTCACATCAGTCGTAGAACTCGAACTGACATCAGTCGTGGAGCTCGTAGTAGAACTCGAACTGGCATCAGTCGTGGAGCTCGTAGTAGAACTCGTACTGACAACAGTCGTGGAGCTCGTAGTAGGACTCGGTCTGACATAAGTGGGTTCGTTCTTCTCAAATGGATTGGGCAGGAAGGAGAAGGGAAATCCGGGCTTCTTCTGGTTGGGATAGTAGTGCGCTTGATTGTGAGTGTTGGCATCCGGCGTGTTCACCACAGAAACGTATTGCGGCTGGAACTTATTGAATAGATTTTGATACTGGTCCAAGGACTGGAACTGCACTCCCTGATTCTTGAAGATCTTTTCTAGGTCTTGAACACTAATGAGTTGGTCTTGGTTCTGGGTTTGGGTTTGACCAGGCTGTCCATACGCAAACTGGATCTTGTTATCGCGACCTTGTTTTGCTGAGTTTTGTGGACCCACTTCTTGTTTGGGTAGTTCCTTGTTAATCTCATTAGAAGTGGGTTGTTTTTCTTCGGTGCTTGCCTGAACTCCTTCTGAGTTAATAGTGTTACTAAGCTGAGCTGGGGTTTCTTGGTTTCCCTTGGCAGCTTCTGGGTCAACTTTTACGGGCTTGATCGGTTCAGAAGGAGCTACTTGAGAATTTATGGAGTTAGCCAACTGAGATATACTTTCTTGGTTTCCTTTGGTAACTGCTGGTTCAGATTCTTCGGTTTTTTTTGTTTTAGAAGAAGCATCTTGAGAAACAATTGAGTTAGTCAGCTGAGATTGACTTTCCTGGTTTCCTTTGGTAACTGCTGGTATAACTTCTACGGGTTTGATTGCCTCAGAAGGAGTTTCTTCAGAACCGATGGAGTTAGGTAGATGAGATTGGCTTTGCTCGATAGCCACTTGAGGTTGGGATTCCTTGGTTTCTTCGGAAATCGGATTTGTCGGCTGCTCTTGAGAATTAACATTACCAATCAGCTGAGGTTCAGTTTTCCGTATTTCGTTGACAACTTCCTGCTTGACTTCCAATGGTTTAAGATCTGCCGGGGAGGCGACAATCTCAGGAATCTTCTCCTGATCTAAAACTCTGCCCTGAGTGGCCAACAAGGCACCGAGAAGGACCAGTAGACGTAGAGAATGCTGGTGGAGAAATTGGAAGACCAAAGGTTTAGTACTACCCAAAGACTCTCTCCTTGACTGACTTACCATGTTGAGGGTTTCAGTTGAACTGTGTCTATCCAGAATATTCCCTGACTATTTATACAACTCCTACACAAAGGTCACCTACCTAATCTCTGCAGGAAATGCCCACCCATCGATCAGCTAGTTTTATTTTGACTATCTTCTATAATAACCTAAGGCACTTTGGATTCGTTTGCTATTATCGCTGCGATTTGTGTTTGGTTCACTTCACTTAAAAAGGCGCCAGTGGCTGGAATATCGGTAAAAATGGAATTGCACTTAAGTTATATTGTGCCAGTGCTATCTGTTCAACCCCTCCCAAGATTTTCCCTTGGTTTATTTGGTTCGTTTTACGTGCAACATGAAAATGCCATTGTTTCCGAGGCGCACAAACGGAAATCTATGACTCGCTTTTCAATGTTTTTGCTCGATGGAAAAATGCATGGGCGAGTGCAAAAGACTGTCGCCTGTGAGGAAAGTGAGTCGCAGCAGGAGCTTAAGGCTAAAGCGGTGAAAAGCGGGTAAAAAGAGGGCGAAAATGTGGGAAAGGGGGAAAACGGGGAGGGATTTGGTTTTCCGGGTGCAAGTGCACATCAGGTGCATATTCATGGCAAGAGCTTTATCTTCGGAACTTTGTCTCCGCCCCATTTCCCTGCCCCATTGACATGTCGCCAGGTGAGCGATGAGCCCTACCTGGTCATTGACATGACATGTGAAGAAGGGAGAGGAAAAGATTCGGCAGACAGAGACAGAGCACACATACATCTCCTGCTGGGCTTTGTAATTGAATTGCCCGATGCATAGCTCGAATTTTTGGCATACTCCAATTTGATTGAAGGTTTTTGTCGCTGACAGAACTCCCACTGATTTGAATCGATTTTCGAGTTGGTCAAAAGATGAAAACGACAAGGTTGATGTTGGAAAAAATCAAAGGCGATTGCAAACTTACACGTAACTTACTGATTTTCTAAAGAGATAAATGAAATTCGGAAATCAAGTCAAGAAAATCAATTAAATTTTAAAATATAGTTCTGAAGTAATCATAGAAGGATACAACTTTTAATAGGACTAAAATACACTTCTAAATACACTGTATTTGTAAACAAAGAACCTTATGAGAATATTAATATTAGTTAATTATAATAAAATGCTATGAAAGCAATTCCAAAAGGGGAAACCTAAAATCAACTTGATATAACTTAGTTTCTTAATCACTGGCCAAACGCAGCACAAACTCTCATACAGATTCCCCTTAATTTCTTTTTCGCCAAGATTTTCATTTGCCCAGCTCCATTCATGCATAATTTACACCTGAAAATACAATCAAGGTGCAATTATTTTCTGTTTTCCGACAATGGAAAGTGTGGCTGTTTCCTCATTGGTTTTTATTTTCCTTTATGCAGTAAAAGAAAACTAAAATCTAATCACTTGCCAGTGAAAAATTCAAAGAGTGGAAATGGGCAGCAAACTGAAGGCAGGAACTATTCAAATCCGGGGAAGCTAAAGTTGAAGTTGAAAACGAGGCTGAAGTTGCTGCTGGGCCAAAAAAATTGCTTTGCGCAGCGGCAGATGAGCTGTTGAAATTGCAAGTGCGGCACTTGCTCAATTTTTCATGAGCCTCCCACTAGTCGATTTAAGCATTTCTGCTGGTGGGGCTATACAAGATCGCGTCGACTTGGGGTTTTCCTTACTGCGGATATGTATAGCTTAATTGTGAAAATTTATTTCCTCAGAAATTATAATACCGATGCCAAAAATAACTATAAACTAAATGCAGATATAGTTAAAATAAAAAACAAAAACCTAAAGGTTTAACCTTTTGTTAGGATTCATTCTTTGAAAGAAAGGATATTTCTTTTTTAAATTAAGTACATTTTTTCTTCAATCTATTATGTTAAATCGATATTCATTTGATATACCCAAAATACTCTGTCGAAAATGAACTCCTCCGGCAGCTGAAGACACTGAAACTGAGGCCAAGGAATTCGCCATAGCCACAACCCACACAAGCTGGGCTCAAAATCGCAACTTTGGATGCAAAAGGAGCAGCAGTGGACAGAAGAGTCCAGAGGGGAAGATGCAAAGAATGGGTATCTGTGAAAAGGCGAAATTAGCGGGCAGGACCGGCAGTTCCCTCGGCTCCACGAGCATCCAGCAGAATCCAGAATCCAGCATCGTAGCCAGACAATGAGGCGAGCTGAGGCCCTTGACTTGGTCAACTCCCAAGACCCCGGCTCCAAAGGCACACGAAAATAATAAGGAATGAATGTAAATAAATGGTGCTAGGGGTAATGGCAACGGATGAACGACAAAAACAGAAACCCCAAGAGGGGCGAAGGGGGCCAGAAGATGCCCAAGGCCAAGGCAGCATCATCATCATGGTCAGTGAGATAAGCCCGGACCTGGATCGCTGAGGCAGTTGCAGGCGAGGGCTACGTAGCACGGCAGCCCACCACGTCAGCGGGGTGAGGAGGGGGTGTAACCACAGTCAGGGGGAAAATAATAGTGACCACATCTCAAAAATAAAAATTAGAGATCGGTTAAATTGCATTTAAAATGTCCACTAGTTAAATTTTTCATTTGTTTAGCTTATAACTTAAAATTAATGTACAAAGTAAAACTGTTTTTTATTTTCATTAAATAATTATAAACAGTACATTTTTAAAGTTACCCCAGTAATTGAATTCTATAAATTTCTCTAAGTTTAAAATCCAACCTAAAATGTTTTAACGTCTTTATTTGTTCGTTGTCTAATTTATAATTTGATTAACTGGTCTACATAGCCAAATCGTATTATATTTAATAATCACAAAAATGGACAATTAAATTATATTCCATTACATTCTAAAAATGTTGCATGACTAAGGCAAATACCTAGCTCCTGGCTAACAAATTATATTTTTTGAATGGTCGTTAGAACACTCCTGTTATCAGAACCCCTGCTGTGCCGCCAGAGATTCTTTTGGATGAGCTCCTCCGCTCTTTTCTCCTTTTTTGGGACGAACTCTTTCATTTTGGGTGTGTGCAGTCCAACAGCGATAAGATCAACGTGTGAGCCCGGTGAGCCAGTGCTGTGGCATCTGCAGCAGGTGTTTCGCTTTCAGGTGCTGCCACACAATATGGGTAACAAGTTGCACCATCCTGGCCAAGTTTATCGCCACATAATTCACACGGAGCCCTCAGCCGGGGAGGCCACAGCCGAATTGATTGACTCCCGCTGGGGAGTGGGAGTGGGAGAGTGGGAAAATGGAAAAATCAAATAGCCCGGAGCTGGGGAAACATCCACCTGCAACACTCAGCCAGGACGACGCTCCACTAGGCAAATATGGCAGACGACACAAAGCGTTCGCACATCCCACATTCATCACATCCGCATGCCGGTGCCACGAAGATCTGGCCATCATCGCCCGTCCTCGCTTAGAATTCAAAACATTTCAGACAAATTGGCGTTGCTCTTTGAGCCCCAATGTGTGACAAAATGGAAGGCAAACAGACCGGACCAGGATCCCCCCAGTCCCATTCTTCTGCTGGACAATACAGGAGTGCAGCGGAGAGTGCGCCAGCCCTTGTTTAATTTATGCCAAAACATTTCTGAAGCGACGTTGACGACGTCATTTGGCCCGGACCGGCTCACATTGGCTCACATTGGCCCACAGCAGTTAGCCCTGTTCTCGGATCTGGGATCTGGCCTGGGATTGAGGTGTCACTTGATATGCAATAAATAAGCTGCTGGGAAAAGTGTTAACGAGCCTGTCAGGGGTAGGGGATAGCCATAAGTGGTGCACAGAGCGAAAACTAGTATTTTAAGCTTTGAAGACATCTTATCTTATTACCTACACCTTTTTCTTTATTTATCCTAATAAAAACATAGTTTGACCATTAATTTCATTAGCTTACAGTATTATATTACGATTATATTATATGTAATACGAATATTTAAAACTAGATACTTGAAGGAGATCACTTATAAAGCAGTAAGATACGTGGAAACTACATCACTTAATTTACAGCATAGCCTAGCTCCTCTCTTAAATTCTTTCAGTGTATGGGGGAAGCCTCTGTCGAGGGCCTTTGGACTCCGGAGAGAGCTACTTTTGTGCTGTCTGTTTTTCCAGCAGCTTGCAACGCCTTGGCGCCACAAAATGAACGCCATTCATGGGGCAACGTGCAACGACAAGAATGTGACCCATTTTTAGCACCAGTAGCCATTCTCACCTCCCCCGTATTCCCCGCCCAGAAAAAACCCAACTGAGTATGCTGTTGTTTGTTTAAATGTTTGCCCATATATGGTACAGCCAGCTATATAAATATGTGAACAGCTTTTAGCACCTTGCCCCCGCACTCGAGTGGAGTTCTCAAGTGGTCGGGGCGACAGTTGAACGTGTCCCATTCCCAAGTGCCAGCCAGCAGTTCCCAGTGGCACCCGGAGATTCCCCGTAGAATCACCCGGAGCACGTGCGTCCGCCAGACAATGGGAGCTTAAGAAACGACTCCTCTCGACCCGTCAGCTAATGCTGAATGGGAACGGGAACGGGAACTTTAGTTGCTGCACTGCTTCTTTTTCAATAATAATTCCCTTTGGGTTCGAGCAGCCGGCGATATTTTCTTTATTTTTTATTCGAGTTTCATTGTTGTTGCACTGAGAAAAATCTTTAAAATGAAGTTGACTTGCTTTTGTATGCCATACAAAATTTCAGTAATAAAATTGTTAACAACATTTCTCAGACAATTAAAAAACATTTATATCGTTATCATAGTTTTTTAAAGGCAATCAAATTTGTAAAAGGCGTACATCATAAATTTATCTTTATAAATGGGTATTTTATTTAATGATCTCTCTTTTAGAAGCACAACAGAAATTCTTAATAAAAAGTATATAACTAATCAAAAAGTAAAATCATTATTTTTTCTGTGTGCTGTTCGCAAGGCATGGCCATTTTCAATTAAGCAAAATTAAAAATTTATTACGAGCCACGACCGAAAGAAAACAAAGGATCGGAAACAGGAACAGCAGCAGAGGGCAGGGAGAAAAGCAAATTGCAGAGTAACTTGGGGTAAAAGAGATGTTTATGTTTTCATTAAAAAAAGGAGAAACTGA